TTTTTACTGTAAATGAAGCAGGAAAGTTCCCATGGCCAAGGCAGTACGTTTGTGTTTGCCCCTACATTCAATGACATTACAAATAAATCAAGGCCAAGCTGGTCCTTTGGCTTAACCAGTTTCATTGCTGCCTGGAGTAATAAGTGCAGTGAGAAAAAATGCTGGAGCGAGCCCAGACCACAGCAAGCCAATGTAAAATAATGAAGGACAGAAGTTTTAGGGTTTGTTTGTCTCTCGTATCTGTAAACAGCTTTTGCCTCAGTAAGTCAAATAGTACATGATTTCACTTGGGCAAAATTCCTGAGGATCTCAAGGGCAAAACTGACTGCAGATGAGCAGGCTGCATCTCAAGGCAGTGTCTTGAAGCACAGTCACTGTCTTGCTGCCCATCATTAGCCAAGAAAGTGTTGTCAATGCTGGAAGTGGAAACACCCTAAATGAGGGTAGATCAGGCCAGCAGTACCACCGCCTTGCAGGCAGATTTCCTACAGCAGCCAGCCACATCTGGGTTTGTATTTTCAGATTTCCCGCTTGGAGGCTGCCCCCCCCTCTGCTCAGACCTAAGGAAGCTTGACCTGGGTCTAAATTTGGCTTCTCATATGCATCTTTTCCACCTCGCTGGTTCCCTCCAGAGCATTTCTGTGTGACTGTGGAACATGCACTGCCCTCCCCTGTGTAGCTCTGGGTGAGAAGCTGTGCCAGGGTCTTTTGCAGAAGCAGCAGGGACCAGCTGCAAATGTTCTGCCATAAGGACTTGAGGGGACTGGCTGTGGCCCTGCTTTACCCTCTCAGCTTCTGGCTATCAACAGGTCTGAGATTTTAAACCCCCTCATAGCCAGAGGCTGCATCTCTGTTGTGTACACCAGCCGCTGCAGACTGTATGCAAATCCTCTTTGCACTTGCAGAGGTTACACCCAGCACAGGTCCCCTGCATAGGCTGGCGTTAGGTGGTTTTGAGTGCAGCCCATCTCTTCAATACCACCATGAGAAGGGCAGGCTTCCTCTATAATTCCCTTAGCATTTTTTTTTCTGATCAAGATGAGAGAAACAGAGATCTAGGGAACAAAAGAGTGATTATTTTTTGTACATTAAATATTTTAAACAGTCTTGTAAATAATGCACATGCTATGGGAATGGGATAACTGCACAGCAGGGAGGGGTGTCAAAGAAAAGAAACAAGTGCTTTAAATAGAGGACTCCAGATACCAAGGAAATCAATCTTAGGAGGCCCAAAACTAATTCACCATAATAAGGAGAAAAGCCCGGAGCCATCTGTGAACCTATCATTGATGTATTACTATTCCATATGTGTATTTAACATTTAAAACCACGCCATAAGAAGGATCTACCAATAAATTGCTCTGTAGCTCCCTCTAATGGATAACTTTACCAAAACTGGGTTCGGGGAGCAGCAAACAGTAACGAGATTAAAACAGCACTTGAAATGTGAAATCAGGATTTTCGTGGTGGAACAGTTGTCATGTGCACAAAACCACAACGCTGCTATGATTCCCCACCCATCTGCTGTTTTAGTTTTATCCTGGTAGGTACTACAGCTCTTCTTAAAAGAGCTTAAAGGAATAGTGAACTAAGTCGAAACGCAGAGGGCCCCATCGCCCCAGTGGGGTGGAAGAAGTAAAGCCAGGAAGGGTGCAGGAAGCTGCAGGGCAGCAGCTGCTCTGCATCCTGCGTCCCACATCCAATGGGAGGGTGCACTATCCAGGCACGGGCTGTGCCCAGAAACACGAGCTCTGCATGGGGCATACCACCATCTAGAGAGCCTAACCATGTTTTATTATCCTTCTGTTACTGTAAGAGCAAAGCATTAGCTCTAACAAGGCTTGTAGCCTAGGAGGTGGTGGGCACCTTCCATACTCCCTGCCTGGCTTCCCGGCACAAAGCCAGGCAGCTGGTGCTCTTGTGAACAGGCAGATGAACTCAACCTGCAGCCAAATTTCTTTGCAGCTACAGCAGAGGTACTGCCTACGTAAGAAATGTGCTGCTAAACCCACAGTAAATTAAAGGAACCTCATAACAAGGAGACTAAAAAATGAATGATGTGATCATAGTAATGCACAAGCAGCAAATACCAGAGTATAGGATCATTTTAAATATGACTGCATCCACACTGAATTAAGAGCTAAACAATTCATTACGAAAGTCTGTATACCACGATTCAAAGAGAAGCCAGAATTCCTGTGTAGATTAACATGTACACCAAAGCTTGCAACATGAGTGTGGATTTTCACACTAATCTTTTCTAACACTGCACTCCTACAGCTGTTCAGTTTCTAGTTCTGAAAACTGTTTTAGCTCTGAGATCCTCGGGAAATCAGACATGAGAGAAAGCTGAAACAAAACAATCTCTTACATATGAACAAGCGATACTAGTAAAAGCCACATTTTATTTGCACGCATATACTGATTTCTGTCCAACGCATATTTATCTCACATGCATCACACCAGGACCATTTAGTTTGCTTAAGGGTTTATTTGTGTTGACTACAACCTGCAGTTAGCCATAACAATGTTGGGGTTTTTTTTAGAAGTTAATATTCCATATTGCCAATTATTTCTAATGCTGACTGAAACCAAGATGCTATTTAAGAAGCAAAGGAATAATAATGAACAGTAGGCTTGGTACAGAGGAAAATGGTATCTCATAGTCCTGATGTTGGGTTTAATCCCTCCAGAAAGAATTAATTTTTAGAGCAGAATATCCGAACTTTAAGGAACAGCATTTAGCATTCTAATACACGCTGATTTGCCCCACAGGATGTCACAGGCAACTCAGGCCTTAGAAACTCATGTGGCTGTATGCATTGTGTTTGCATGGCAAGGTGTGTGTATGTGAAGGGCCTAAAGGGGTGGCTCCTATTAAAAGCTGCTAGAAGCTTACCCTGTCTGATGGAGCCAATGCCAGCCAGCTCCAAAACAGAACCACCACTGGTCAAGGTGGCCATCAGTGATGGTGACAGCACCTCTGGGATAACACACTTCAGAAAGGGGAAAAGTTGCCACACCACAGCAACTTCAGCAGAGAAAGGAGTGAGAACATACGAGATAAACAGCCCTGCAGACACCAAGGTCAGCAAAGACGGACCTTCCATTGCATCTTCTCCATGAAAAGGACTAAAGCTCCACCCTACCAAGCACACAGAGAAGAGATTCCTCCCCAAGGATGGGGATCATATAAAAGGATGTGCAATTTTCACTGACATCTTGCCTGAAAGTTTATGCCTAGAAGCATGCTCTAAATCACACATATAATCTATTAAAGTAACATTCTTTAAAATTTCAGAGAATCTTAAAATTATTATGTTATACCCAAGCATATAACAAGGATATAACGCAACGTCAGGAAATTATTTCACTATGCTGACTTCCATGAATACGTATTATTTGCTATTGCAAGAAATAATGTTTTCAACTACTTGGGAAGCAGAGAAAACCAATCTTCACAATCTCCTGTGCTGTCGTGAGTAAACTACTTCTCCTGGATTTTAGTTAAATTCACTCTTTCTACACTGAACTGAAGTGCCAGGAAAAAGTAGTAAGTATCAGAGTGCATTCAAGTTATTTACATCAACACAGGAGGAAGTTAACTCCTTCTTAAATCCCTTTCCAAAAAATAATGTTGAAAACCTAAATACGTATTTTATAGATGTTGCCCTTCCCAAACCTTCGCTCGCGAAGCCAAGCCATCACAGCTTTATATGTTGATATTTTTATATTACATTATGTATTTTAAATCTAATTTTTCATTGTTAATTATGCATAGGATGCTTACGTTTGTGATCCTTAGAGATAACTGATCAACATCCATGTGGCAACCCTGGCTGGGTAATACCATTAATTAAAAAGCAATTTTTTTTTACTTCTCTTTTGACCAAGAAATCCGTAAGAAATTGGGGGAGGCGGGAAGGGGGGGGAGCGAAGGTAGTGTTGGTCGGTTGTGATTCTTTCTTTAAATACAGGTTAAACTAAGTCATGAAAACCTACAGGAAAGAAAATGCAAAGTATTATATTGTGAAAGCTTCATATAATTCCATATTTTAAAAGCACACAATCACTCCTCTGAAGTCTATTACAAAGCACATACAGAAAGGTGTAACCCTACACCTTTATCTATTTGCTTTTCAGTTTCATACTCACTTTCCCAAATTTTGCATTATTCAAGTTCTAAATTGATTTATCTAGCTCTGATACTTTCCTGAGCAATATTTCTCATTCCCCATGGAAAGTAAGCAACAAAAATACACTCATATATGTTCATATATACATATATGCTTATATATGGCTACATATACTTCAGAAAAACAATTATTTGACCAAAACTTACTTAAATGAAAATTTCATCGGGACAGGTGGTAACAGCAGCATGGTAGGACACAGTTCAACTTCTTCCTCTCCTCCTTTTAAAAATACAAAAATATGAGCATAGCAACTTATGTAAGTAAGACAAGAGTAAGCTGATGTACATCACTAAATAGTCATGACTAAAAAACCCCTTCAAAGTACAAAACTATGAATCTACAGGCAAACCTTCAATAATTATATTTTTTGACAAGATTTTCTGCTTCTAAAACGTCATGAGATTAAGAAAATAATATATTAATATACAAAAAGGAAATAAATTTTAAGTATTAGCCTGAGGTGTGCTGCTTCCACTTAAAATCTGTACTCCTGCTGAATTAGGAAGTACTTATAGTTTTTCAACAGTTAATACGCAAGTAGCACAAAGGCAAACATACTGAGTAACAGTGCACAAGTTCCTGTTTTCCATGTTTTCCTTCATTTACATCCAAAGTGTTTTTCTGAAGCAGACAGAACATACAGACTAACCTTTCTTTCACGGGCTGATGACTGGAAAGCTGAATTATTCAGAGCAGAACTCCAGGATAATTTTGCATCTCCTGCTGCCAAAGATACTTAAAAGGCAGTATGTTCAACATGAAAGGTTTTGTTCTTGATTTCGTAAAAACCAAAAATGGCCCACGCCAGGTTGTGTTTCTTTTTATTGTTAAAACATTAAAGCATAACATTTCACCAAATACAAGAAATTTAGGGGGTTCTGACATTACAAACATCTGAATCATCAAGAGAAACTGTTGAGCTATACACAGTCTGACGTTAATCCATCAATTTAAGGTATATTAGTACATGCTTAAAACATGGCCAAAATACATAATCACAAACTAAGTACCTTGATGCTTCTAAATCTGAGACAAGTAAGTCAGAGAATTGAGTGCAATAAATTTCCAAAAAAAAATTACACTCAATTACAACCTCAGAGGAGAATTATTCCAGAAGGAGTGATGGTTTCTCATGCCTGGCTCATTCACATTCAGTTTGGTAAGAATTTCAATCTTGACAATTTGATTAAAAACATTTTGAAAAATACAACATTTAACAAATGTGAAAAAACAAGTTCAGTCTTCACAGGAATATATGGATTGCTTGCCACTCCAGTCCTTAACTGCCTGTATGTTTTACAAATCTTTACAAAACTAATTTGTATCCATTTTGGTTTCAAAAACATAGTACATCTGAAAAATAAAATATGACTCTACTGATGGGTAATACAAAGACATGAACACGTATTTAAAATTACTTTCCGAAGTAAATCATTTCAGTAATACAGCTATAAGACAAGAAACAGTACAATAAACCATGCATCTTCTGACTTGTCAGAACAGCTAAACTACTCAGTTAACATACAACAACACTTTTGAACACTTCTGTAAATTCAGCACAATTTCCCTTCTAGCACAAGGGAAAAAAAAACAGATTAAATTTGTTCTTCAAGTGGCTCAAGGCTGTCCAAGTGTTTTTTAGGTGTATCATCGCTATGACGACTTTGGCAATGGGTTAAATGTTTCTTAAAGCCTCGGGGAAAATTAGATTCAAAATTACAACGTGGACACTTCAACAAACTTTGACCATGAGCAGCAACATGGTTTTTGAGGAGAGACTCCAAGAGAAAAGCTTTGCCACATATTTTACATTTGTAGGGGCTTTGAACATTATGCTTGTTAACTAAATGGTGCAAGACGGCGCCTTTTTTCATTGCACGACAGCAACAAATCTTGCAATAATACTTTCCCTTGCCACGCTTCATGTATTTTGCTATTTCTTCCTCGGAGATGAAAGCCTCTTTCTCTTCAGTAAACTGCAGCACACACTGTGGCTGCATGGGAGGAGTTGCATCTATTTTGCTCTCTTTGCCATAATCAGATGACTCCATGTCATACTGCTCTTGGTCACTGTTGGATTCTTGCTCCTTTATGTCCATCGAGTCCATCTCTGCTTTTCCACACTCGCTGCTATTTAGTTCAGAATCTGAGTTCTCCTGGTTTTCCTTCTTGGGCTTCTTTTTGGGACATGAATACAACACATCTTCTGGAGATTCTTTGGCTAATATTGATTGTTCATCCTGTGAGAACAAATCATCCAGAGGTTTCTGATCATCTAAACTGTGAGAAAGAAAGTCACTCTCACCAGACTCACTAGGTGTCTGGGACTCGGAGGAAAAACCAGAAGCAGATTTCTGAGGCTCGGAGAACAGGATGCTCTTCTGGATTTCAGAAGGTACAGTAGTTTCAGCATGTCTCTGGACATCAGAGGATAAAGCAGCAGCAGGCTTCTGCATCTCAGAAAATACAGCATGCTTTTGAACCTCAGGGGAAACAGCAGATTTCTGGGAGTCAGTAAAAACAGCTTGTTTGGGGGTCTCAGGAGAAACAGAAGGAGCAGGTTTCTGGCTCTCAGTAAAGAGGCCATGTTTCTGAATTTCAGGAGAAAGAGATTTCTGAGACTCTGTAAAGGAAGTAGGCTCCTGAACTTCAGAGGAAATGGGAGCGAGTTTCTGGGCTTCTGAGAACAGGGTGTGCTTTTGGACTTCAGAAGAAGCAAGAGCTGATTTCTGGGTTTCAGAACATAAGGCGTGTTTTTGGCCTTCAGTAGAAACAGCAGAAGTAGGCACCTGATTCTGGGGCTCAGAAAAGACAGCACGTTTCTGGACATCAGTAGAAACAGGAGGATTAGATTTACGAGACTCTGGGAACAGAGCTCTTTTCCGAGGTTCTGGGAAATGAGCCCGTTTCTGAACCTCAGATGAAGCAGCAGAGGTGGATTTCTGAGTTTCAGAAAAATACATAGATTTCCGGGACTCAGAGAGTTTCCAAGATTCAGGAGATACCGAAGCACCAGGCTTACGGACCTCAGGAAAGAAAGAAGTCTTCCAAGAGTCAGAGGAAATAGAGTGACTAGACTTTCGAAGCTCGGGAGAAACAGGGGGAGAATGCTTCCATGTGTCAGGGGACACAACAGGTTTCCAGCCTTCAGGGTAAACGGATGAGATGGGTTTCCACGGCTCAGAAGAAACAAGAGTAGACTTCTGGGATTCGGAAAAGGACGTAGATTTCCACGAGTCAGAAACAAGCCTCCTAGGTTCTGGTGACACAACTGGGCCAGGCCTTCGGGACTCGGGGGCAGACCTCCGGGATTCTACAGACGCTGACATGGCAGACTTTGGAGCCCAGGGAGAAACCGTGGAAGACTTCTGCACCTCGTGAGGCGTTGACCTCCAGGGCTCAGGGGAAACAGTTGGACCAGGTCTCCACGACTCTGGTGAAACTGCAGGAGCAGGCCTCCTGCTTTCAGGAGAAGCAGCAGAAGCAGGCCTACGCATTTGAGAAGGATGTCTCCTGGGCTCAGGAGACCCAGCTGGGGTATACCGTCGTGGTTCAGGGGATACTGCTGGAGTAGGTTTCTTTGGCTCTGGTGACACAGCTGGCGAGTATCTGCGCGGCTCTGGAGACACAGCGGGAGAATGGCGACGGGGCTCTGGAGATACAGCGGGGGAATGCCGACGGGGCTCCGGAGATATTGCTGGGGAATGACGACGAGGCTCTGGAGACACAGCTGGGGAATGACGACGAGGCTCTGGAGACAAAGCCGGCGCAGGCTTCTGTGGGTCAGGGGACACTGCAGGAGATAGCTTCTGTGGGTCAGGGGACACTGCAGGAGATGGCTTCTGTGGGTCAGGGGACAATGCAGGAGATGGTTTCTCTGAGTCTGGGGATAGAGCTGAGGCTGACTTCTCTGCATCTGGAGATGTGGCCTCCGCTGACTTTTCTGGGTCCGGGGACACGGTGTGGGCTGACTTCTCTGGCTCTGAGGAAGTTGCCTGAGCTGACTTCTGCGGCTCTGGAGACACTGACGATTTCTGAAGCTTGGGGGAAACAACAGGTTCAGATTTGGGTTGTTCGGGAGAAGAGGCAGGTTTGCGTGACTCAGGGGAAAGGGTAGGTTTCTGTGCCTCCACTGTGACACTGTTTTTGGAGGAATCTGCATCTCCTTCTACCTGTTCTTTCCGTTCTTTATTCCACTTCTCAGGTGCTGCATGCTGTGCTGTGATGTGATAATATACATTGCAATACATCTTACTGGTGAAGAAGCATTTGTGGCAGTGAAACAACTTTGCACTTTTTTGATAAAATATAAGTTTACCCAAACCAGCAGCATCCATTTCATCACAATACTCTGGGTGTATGGTACCCATATGAATCTGTATGCTTTCATAGTCCGTTCCTTTGAAGCTGCAGTGATCACACTCTAAGTGCTCTGTGGTTTTACGCAGTACCTGCAACACGTCCATTTTTCAATGGTCAATAAGAGTTCTCACAGCACTGCACCTTTTAAAGAGGAAGCTTCAGTTCCTGCCATAAAGGAAAGAAAAAATAAGTCTGTATAATTAGCTGTCAATGTTAATTTAAATTCTTTGTCATTCCTAAATAAGCGCATGTGCTTTTCCCCCCACACTCCGTTTTAGCAAGTGTAACTTCGGCACAGGTACCGCTGCACGAAGAAACCCAAATACAGGTGTCTTCAACTTCTGCAAGTCATTTTACATCAGTAAAACCTGAAAAACAAAGTTTATATTTAACAACAGGCCTTCCTAGCTATGTAAAAAAAATATGCAAGCAAACAATAAAAAAGAGCCCAGGTCATGAAGAGTGAAGTTTACGTTTCATTCAATAAACGTGACTTGCTTTCTCACTTTACTTCCCAGATTGGGTTGATTTACATTACACATGTAAACTAAAAACAAAAGGTACTGTGAAAGAGTGCCACTGAGATAAAGCCGTTTCAAAACTGCATCTTCATCATAAAATTTCAAAACAAATCAGCTGGTTTTAACAAAGACAAAAAATAATTTCAAGAAGAAAACAGCAGCCAGAAGCCTAGGCCCTGTTTTCATCTGTTAAGCACTGTTTTCCTTTCCCTAATTACATGAAAACCAAACGCTGCTGCTCATAAATACTTTTTCCATCATGAAAAGAATTTTTTCCATTCCACTATTTCATCTGCTGCCCTAGTAACAACAAAAATGCTGTTTAAAAAGCAGCCAGGATGTCTTTGTTTTCCAGTTGGTGTAGTTGACAGCCCTTTGCGTTCACAACATCCTTTGCCTCACCCCAAAGAGAAAGATGGAAATTTCTCAAAATTATTGTTTTGGCAAGACTTAAAAAAAAAAAATCAAACAAACAAACAAAAAAACCCCAAACAAACCAAACAAGACCAAACCAAACAAACAAAACACAACCTCCCCAAACAAGAAACAGAGATGAAGCATCTGAAATGCAAGTAATTTTTAATGATCTGGCTAGATTCCACTATTGCCAACAGAATTTACCCAGATTAGCTACTACAATAAGCAAAATCCAAGCCTAATCAAATGCTGCAAGTAATTTTCGTGTAAATATGGGAAGGATTTCTATGGTGAAAAGAAACATTTGGATATTGAGGTGAAATGCACACGCTTTTTCCTTGTAGGTTCAAATTAAACAGATGTTGCATTATTATCATGCTAAGCTATGAACCAAATTTCAGGGGTCTTGTAAGACACAGTGTTTCCCAGCACTATTAGCAGTCATACAAAAGAAACTCCAAAATGTGGTCCACACCACATTAAAGGTAGACCACAAAACACTTCCCAACACCTTATAACAAACTTTACACTCCTGAAAGATCCAAACAAAACAGAAAGATCAGAGTAGTTTTCAGTGTCTGTATCTCTAAAATAGCCAACAACTTGTCAATAAAAAAACAATGAAGCAAGCCACATCTTAACACTCCAAAAGACTTAAAAGTCTTTATGAATAAAGATTTTTTTTATTGTGGGATTTGGGGTGATGGGAAGAAACAAAGATCATAGAATTATAGAACAGTTAGGGTTGGGAAGGACCTTAAGATCATGTAGTTCCAACCCCCCTGCCATGGGCAGGGACACCTCACACCAAACCATCTCACCCAAGGCTCTGTCCAACCTGGCCTTGAAGACCACCCGGGATGGAGCATTCACAACTTCCCTGGGCAACCCGTTCCAGTGCCTCACCACCCTTACAGTAAAGAACTTCCTCCTTATAGCCAATCTAAACTTCCCTGTTTAAGTTTGAACCCATTACCCCTTGTCCTGTCAATACAGTCCCTAATAAGAGTCCCTCCCCAGCATCCCTATAGGCCCCCCTTCAGATACTGGAAGGCTGCTATGAGGTCTCCATGCAGCCTTCTCTTCTCCAGGCTGAACAGCCCCAACTTTCTCAGCCTGTCTTCATATGGGAGGTGCTCCAGTCCCCTGATCACCCTCGTGGCCCTTCTCTGGACCTTTTCCAACAGTTCCATGTCCTTTTTATGTTGAGGACACCAGAACTGCACACAATACTCCAAGTGAGGTCTCACAAGAGCAGAGTAGAGGGGCAGGATCACCTCCTTCAACCTGCTGGTCACGCTCCTTTTGATGCAGCCCAGGATACGGTTGGCTTTCTGGGCTGCAAGCGCACACTGAAGCCGGCTCATGTTCATTTTCTCATCAACCAACACCCCCAAGTCCTTCTCCACAGGGCTGCTCTGAATCTCTTCTCTGCCCAACCTGTAGCTGTGCCTGGGATTGCTCTGACCCAGGTGTAGGACCTTGTACTTAAAAGCCAGAAATTCTGAATTGACCATACAAGATAGAGAAAAAGAATCCTTTTTTACAAAACCACAGCAGAACCTCATTAGGACAGTAAGGACACACTGCACTGATCGCATTTTCAGAACCTAAAGCGAATTTACCGCTTCCAAAATTGGTGGGAATTCTAAACTGCTGTCCTGGGTTCAGCAGTAGCAGTCATTTTTCTCCTCCTTGGTAGCTGGTGCAGTGCAGTGTCTTGACTTTCGGCTTGGGAATAGAGCTGATAACGATGTTTTGGTTTGGCCAAGGACTTTGTGAGCCTCATGCTCTGCCAGGGAGGAGGGGAAGTTGGGAGGAAGCAGAGACAGGACACCTGACCCAAACTGACCAAAGAGGTATTCCATACCACAGCACGTCATGCCCAGGATGTAACTGAGAGTTACCCGGAAGGGCTGGGACTGCAGGGTTGGAGGAGGTATCAGTCAGAGCCTGGTCGGGCTGTGGGGGGGTGAGTTATTGGTCAGCTGGTGGTGAGGTGTTGTAGTCTCTTCCCTTGTTATTTCCCTTATCATTGTTATTATTGGTGGTAGCAGTAGTGATTTGTGTTATACCTTAGTTACTGAACTGTTCTTCTCTCAACCCATGGGAGTTACTCTCGTTTCGATTCTCCTCTCTGTCCCTCCAGGAGTAGGGGGAGGGAAAGAAGAGGGGGGGAGTGAGCGAACGAGCCCTCTGCCTGGTTTTAAACCACAACAACTGCCCATTTTCTTTTCTCTAGAAAACCAAAAAAGGTTTGTCCAAAGTTAGTTTATCATAGTTTACAACAAAGTTTACCAGACAATCTTTTCTACTCTTCTCATTTCCCTCCTCCTTACACATCACCTAAATGTTGCCCTTGCTGCAGATTTCTCTCATTCACTCCTCTCAACTACACTTCACCCTACCTCCCATCCTTTCCTTTTATTCAATTCTATCTTATTTTACAATGGAAATTTCAATTTTCTTTCCAAATGCAGTGGTGAGAAAAGGTCTTGGCTCCCTTTCACAAATTGTCCAAGTTGCTGCTAAGTTGTTTTGACCAGGAGGTTATTCTGCAACTGGAGAAGTTACAGACACTTCCTCATTTTCATCTCCAGACATCCAAAGGTTGACATTCAAGCCTTTGGCATAAGAAATAATGTGAAAGAGCTGGAGGCACTTTCTCCCACACTGCCATCACTCACCATTTTCAATTTTGTGACTTCAGCATGCACCAGCTGGCAGTCACTGATGAACCTGTCTCTTCTGCTGAAATCTCTTCTTAATTGAGGCATACTGCTAAGCAAGACAACTCTTTGGTATTGCAGCACCTTAGGCCACCTCACTGCATTCACCTTTTTTCATGCATGTCTAGAACGTACACACAGATTCCTACAACCAGCTCTCTGCTCTCTCCACAGAAATGCTTAAGATCCTGTCTCCTGCACTGTAGCTCTTGCCACAATCTCTTCCACCACAGGAAGAACAGACAGAGAGCAGGGGGAAAAGGGGGGGGGGAAGAAGGGGAAGAAAGAAGAGGGGAAAACTGGGCAAAAAAGGGGGAAAGGGGGGGAACGGGGGAGAGAAAAAGTGGGGAAAAGGGGGGAATAAATGGAAGAAAGTAGAGAAAAGTAGAAAAAAGTGGAAAAAAGTGCAGTCAAACCACATCAGCAATCTTTCTTGAGCTCCCATTAGACTAAACAATAGGAGTGGCCTAAGCTGAGGCACATAGCAGACAAATCTCTCCTGGTTATCTTCCCAGCCAGCACACACAGCGACTTCAGAGCCCGTTCTTAGATTGGACATCCCATCATCAATGAGGATCCCACTACAGATGAAGTCTCTCAGAAGCCTCCCAGAGGCAGAAAAAAAATGCACAGGAGATACTGCGTGTAAGAAAGAATCCACCCAGGGGATGGCACAGCACTGACTCTGGCAGCTAACAAGATGTCTCCACTTCTAACCTCTATTCCAACATCAGAGTTGGACATCTACTCACCATTTCAGGTTATTTTAAATGTACACATTCTACACTCAGTGTTGCACCATTTAACAGATCCCTGCATTTTTCCTCTACAAAGGATAGGCTGCGACTGTCATAAGGCAGTGCCAGCGAGAAGCAGGGAAGGGCACAAACATCTAGACTGCCTGTGAGCACAGAAAACCCATCAATGATGTCAGCACATCTGGGAAAGCCCTCAAGAAGAAAACCCTCTATTTTGTCTGATGCCCTACAACCCCTTTGGATTCCCTCTATCAGCCACTGTGAAGGAAGAACGGCTGTTCATGTTCATCAGCCTTGGAATTCTCTTGCCCGCAAACAATTCAGCCATATCCTCTATCAATGAAGAGGGTCAATGGTGAAGTTTGCTGCCAGCACAAGAAAGCCAGATACAGCTGCACCGCTGCCTCTACTACCAGGTGCAGATCCAAACTATTGCAAAAGGAAAAACTGCATTTTTTTGCAGTACCAAGAAAAAGTAAATGGCAGCAACACGATGCTCCTCTTGAAGCTACATCCCTGTGTTGACTGACAAGCAGCACAAGTTGAGCTCCCAGAGGAAGCTGCACACAAACATCCCACAGTGCAGCAGAGCATACACTTCACAATGCCAACAGTAGGTAAGGGAGTCACTTCCAACACAACCACCCACAGCAGGTAAGGGAGTTACTTCCAGTACACCACCCACAAGACGGGCAGCACTGCACTCCTGCTAATCCAGCAGCATCCACAGGAATCCAGCCACATCCTCACAACTGAACTCCCTGCTACCAGCCATTTACTTGGGCTAAGTTTCGTCAGCAACAATCTGATGGAACTGAACCACGTTTCTAAAATCACACACCTAAAAAAAGGCACGAGTACCCTGACCTGACCAGCTGCTGAAACAGTGAGATACGCTGTGAAAACACATGAGAGGGGGGATATGTGGTTCCATGTTTCCAGGAAAGGATCAAGTCAAAGGAGAGTTGCAAAGTGACCAGAACGTGATGCACATGCAGAAGACTTCAGAAACACAAAGGTATAAAACTGCACCTATTCTGCAAGGTTTCCACCTCTGCTAAGAGAATGACAAGTCTTGCACACCAACAGTAGTTCTTACTACAAGATCTGACACCAGTCTGAACTGTAGAGTAGTATGAATGTACCTATGACAGAGTTGGGGCAGCAAAAATCAGTTCTTTAAGGTCCTGACATGGCTTTCTAACTGCAAATTTCCAGGTTGACACAGACAGCTTCCAAAAATGGCCCCAGAAACCTTAGTTCTGCAGTGCTGAACCTAAGATGCCACTGGATACACCATAGCACACAATCTGTTCAGGAATTGTGACAGGTTGTGTATCTTGATGACACTTGGGTGACATGGTTTAGTGTGAGGTGTCCCTGCCCATGGCAGGGGGGTTGGAACTAGATGATCTTAATGTCCTTTCCAACCCTAACTGTTCCATGATTCTATGAATAATTCTGTTTACGTTCTCCTGAAAGCAAGCGTGGTTCAAGGGGAGATTATGGAAGAGAAAAGTGATGTCCCAGGTCTCTATAGTCCTCACCTACAACTCGGGACAAGTCAAGCCGCCAGTTACTCCTCTTACTTCCAAGACTGCTGAGCCAGTATTAACAGCTCCTCTCTGCACAGTCACGCATCAAACCCTCCTGACAACCGCACCACCTACTACTGCTCCCCCAGCCCATCCCGAAGCTCCAGAAAGTGAGTGCAGGTGACACGAACGCGCCTCCGCCAGCTCACAAGTCGCTCCAAAATGCCACTGTCACCTCGCTTCGCCCATCCCTAACGACGTGAGGCTGCGACACAGCGACGTCGTCAGAGCCATCAGGTCTGCACCCGCTTCACGGGCGGCGCAGCGGCTCTGTCCCGAGTGATGAGGACGGTCCCGCCGAGACTCGGCGCGGACACAGGTCCTACCCCGGCGTCTAGCAGCGCCTCCCCACCGGAGCGGGACAGCGCCGCTCGGTCTGCGCCCCGCTGGCTCCTCGCTTCGCGGCCGCTGCTGCCGCTTTCCCTCTGGGGGAGCGAGAGCTGCGGGCCGGGCTTTTCCCAGGCACCGGCTTCGGCCCTGCCCGGGGCCTCTCCCCCGCCACCCATCCCCTCCGCGCCGGCTGATCTGCCTCGACACCCCCCCATCTTTCCTTCCCGTGCGCGCAGCCGCCGCTCCCGCCCCGACGGTTTTGTGCTCCCGCGCCGGCACCACTCGCCGCCGCCTGCGCGACACCGCCGCGTCCCCCCCCCCCCCCGACCCGGCCACCCGCCCTCCCGACGCGACGCCGCGGCGGGGGCTGGGCAAGGGGAAGGCCCAGGCGCGTTGCCCAGGGGGAGGGGTGCGGGCCGGGCCGCGGCCGCTGGCTGGAGCGCAGTGCTTGTGCGGGGCGCGATCGCGGCCCCCCCTCCCGCACTCACCGCTGAGGCACCTCCCGGGCGGCAGCGGGCGCCGGGCAGGGGCTGGCGGCTGTCGCGCCGGTTCGTCACGCGGCGCCTGTCCGCTACGGGGCGCTCTCCGCGCAGCCGGCAGGGGTCGCTGCCGCACCGCGCTGCCCCGGGGCCGCCTCCTATGCCGGCCCGCCAGGACGCGGCGGCTGCCCGTGGCTGTCCCGTGGCACGCAGCGCCGTGCGGGGCTGCACCCGGCAGGTACGGGGGGTGATCCCGCCCCTCTCCTCCGCTCCCCTGAGACTCCACCTGCAGCGCTGCGGCTCAGTACAAGAGGGACGTGGGCCTGTTGGAGTGAGTCCAGAGGCCACAAAGATGCTCCGAGGGCTGAAGCACCTCTCTGAGGAGAGAGGCTGAGAGCTGAGCTCGTTCAGGCTGGAGAAGGCTCTGAGGAGACCTTAGAGCAGCTTCCAGTACCTAAAGGGGCTACAAGAAATCTGCGGAGGGGCTTTTCACCAAGGGCTTGTTGTGGACAAGGGGGAATGGCTTTAGCTGAAAGAGGGGAGGTTCAGGTTAGACATTAGGAAAAAAATATTTACTGTGAGGGTGGTGAGACACTTTTTCATCCCCTTTCTCTTTTCTCCTTTCCTCTTCCCTGTTTCTTAGTTCTTTTTTTCTTCTTCTTCTTCTTCTTGATTTCTTTCTTTTTCGTTTTTTCTTTCATTTTTCTTTCTTCCTTCTTTACTCTTTCTTCCTTCTCCGGTCTCCTTTCCTCTCATCTGCTTTTTACCTTTCCTGCCCTTCTCTTTCCTTTTCTGCTACTTTTATCCCACTTTTTTCCTACTTTCTCACTTTTTACACTTTTTTGACCATTTTCACTTTTTCCACCTTTTCCCATTTTCTCACTTTTTCCACTTTTTCAACTTTTTTCCACTTTTCCAATTTTTTCCATTTTCCACCTTTTTCACTTTTTTCCACTTCTTTCCACTTTTCCACATTTTATGCATTCTCACTTCTTCCACTTCTTTCACTTTCTCATTTTTTCCACTTTCTCACTTTCTCCATTTTTTCCCACTTTCTTCCTCTTTTCCACTTTCCACTTTTTCCACTGTTTCCTCTTTTTCCAGTTTCTCCACTTTCTTCCACTTCTTTCTACTTTTTTCCTCTTTTTTTCACTTGCAGCCCAGAGGCCACCCCATTATCCGTCCCCTCGTGGTATCTCACCTTGATAATCTGACAGCACTTCTTAATGTTGTTGGGATCCAGAGATTTAAGAGAACATCCCCACAGCTGAACTAACGGGATGTGCTCACTTCCAGCATTAGCTACTTGTGTATCCCATTTTCTTTTTCTGAATGGGACAAGGAATGTATCTTCATATACTCCATATGGTGGAGACATCAGTGTTTTTCAGCTGGTAGGACTCTGCAAAGAAAGCCTGTGGTATTTTCCATTCAAATGTGTGTATACCTCTGTGTGCGTGTGAGTATGCATGCACACAGGTAAGTGTGTAACGCAGTGGAGGTCTGCAAGAACAAGCTGCCGTGAGCCTACCTTCGTAAGCCTGGAGCTGGGCAGTGAGAGCAGGAACCCTGTGCACGAACACATGCAAAGTATGTCATGCCTTTAAAGAATATTTTTTTAAAAAACAACCAAACTATGGATGGAAAAATGTCTCTGCTGTGGAAAGTTGGGATGTTACCTCTCAGGTGTGGGAGAATGGATGCTGGTGCCTGCAGAGTAAAAGAGGTTGTTCAAGGAATTCCTTTGTTGGCATAGCCAAGCCATCAGGCAGCAGGGTCTCCTCGGAGGCGGCTCAGGATGCAGCCGTGGGACAGACGCTCACTAGTGCACTCTCTGCAGCTACATCCCAAAGGCCTGAATATTCCTTCCATGTGGATGCAGAAGGCAAAGGCCAAGCTCTCTGGCCCTGGTGCAGGAGGATGGCTTCATGGGAAAGCAAGAACAAGTGAATGGGCTGCAGAAATCCTAGTCAGCGAGGTCATGGCAGCTTGACAGGCTGGACATGAGTGTTTAAACCCTGACAGTTTTTACTGAGCTGGGGTCTGACACCCACCTTCTGGTAACCAGAAGGGATGGAAACTAAGAAGCCCCAAATATGAAATTATTGCTAAACAAACTGCATTTTGTTAATTACCTGTGATGCCACCAAGAGGTACCCATCACCTTGCACTCAGGGGAAGGTGGGGGAGCAGCCTGAAAGCCTGAAAGCCAAAAAGTACCAAGCTGGTGCAAAAATCACTGCTTCTGTGTGTCCACTGGGTCCCTCTCACAGGTGAAAGCCCTCCTGCAGCCTCCCCTGGGCATGCCAATGGGTGAGAAATACCTGCTTGTGAGCAGACTCTCACCCAGTTAAGGTTCTGTCACTGAGTGAGGGGAAAGCCTGATCCATGCTAACGCCACCCTCCTCAGCCAGGCCACCAAGAAAACACCCTTTCTCTGCAGTAAGGATGAACTTGGCTTTAGATGGAGCTCAGCCCAAATGATTCTCTAGCAGCAGCTCTACTTAAGCTTGAAGTCATTTGAGCTGGCAGTTCACTAGCTTGATATTCAAGTTCTCAACTTATTTTTATATGCTTCTGAAGAATACAGAGTAGCATAGGATCATAATTGTTCTAGAGTAATAGATGGAAACATTGCAGATGATCACGCCTCCAAATCATAGTTAAAATCTTTTTGCTTTTTATTCTATTTAATGCTTAACATTTGGGAAAATTCAACCAATAATTTTTCAGTCTGGAACAATTGGATGTTGTGACAAATAATATAATGTTCAAAGAGGATGTAAAAATAAATTAATATCTTACTATTTAACTTCAACAAACAAAGCAGGTCTCAGTTTAAGACAACTGAGTCATTTTCAGCCATGAAAGATAAATGAACATTTTCTGCCCTTCCAGTAAACACGATGCTATCATTGAAACCAATAGGGAGATACACACAGAGACATTATATATATATATATACATATATATATATATATATACACAGACACATATATGCCTGCATCAGAGGGCAGGATTTGGCCTAGATCTTACAAAATGGTAGTTTGCAGTTGACTTTCATGTGTGTTTATGTCTTTAACAAATAGAACTACAGAACATTCATGTATCATACATGTTCAAATCTTGCAACTGCAGCATGTATGAAACATCAGCATATAAAAAGTCATCACTGTATAACCACCTTTTTTTTTTGAAAAGTCAGTGTCAAAAACATAAAACCCAGTTGATTTATTAAAACCAGATACACTGTTTAAGTGCTGAGGTGGGCATTAGCTTTCTGCTGTTGTAAGCAAAAGAATCTATTAACACACAGAAGGTGAAAGTGGCTCAGAAAATGAGAAACTCTCTAATAAGGTACTTGAAGCTTTACTAACACTGTACCTGACACTACAGTTAACTGAACACCAACGTAAACACACCAAGGTACAGGTACCAATGGACACCTCTCACAGCTGTGCAAGCCGTGGGCCCCATCCTGCAAACACCCCTGGTTCCAGAGCTTCCTCCCAAGGCTGGTCCCACTCTGTCCTACTGCAGCACCCAGCAGCAGCCCTGACTTCTGCCAGCATTTGTAGGACAGGTGCCTCAGATTTCAAATGGATGAAAATCAACCCTTCATCTCTTTAGGCTTGAAAAGGTGGAATAGCTTCTGAAAAATCTTGTATAAATACTTCTCTAAAAGTATTAGAGGTTTTCAATCTAATAAAATATTGAACTGCTTTTAAATTAGGCAAATAGTGTTTGCGCTGCTTTTTGTAAAAAAGTAACAATATTCCTTTGCAGTGAGTTAAACATTTCCAGTCACTCTTCCATTTACTCTACAGAAAGTAAGAGGCAGAACTATGCTGATTTTGTTGATGCAATCACCTGTGGAGTTCTGGAACTGCCCCATGGGTTTTTGTGTAGTGACACTGAATCTTAAGTTCATCCCTTTCCACAAGTCTTTCCTCCAGTTTGTTTTATTCTGGTTCTTCACTCTTCTCAGAACCCCCTCCAGCTGAATTATCTGCCTCATAGCTTTTATCAAGAGCATCTTCAAAAGGTCTCCCACTGCAGTCATAGGTTTTACTTGTACATCCCGTATGTGTTCGAATGCGAGCTCCTGGCTGGTATAACTGCATGGCTGGGCGATCCTGGAAGAAAGGAGGCATGGTTAACACTCTGAGAAACCTCTGAAGGATACATATGTGGGATTTTAAGTGATGAATGTTTGTGAAGAAAGCAGATGTTGTGTTAAATCATTTTACATATCCTAAACCCAGGAAAAAAAATGGAGTGTAATGAAAATTGACTGAGTCTTTAATATCTGTCTTGTTTGTAACGCTATTCTTGGGAGCCAGGCATTTTGAGTAAGTGAAGAAAGCTGTAAAATTTAAAAGATCCTATGATACATGATCCTGCCCCTCTACTCTGCACTCGTAAGACCTCACTTGGATTATTGTGTGCAGTTCTGCTGTCCTCAACATAAAAAGGACATGGAACTGTTGGAGCAAGTCCAGAGGAGGCTATAAAGATGATCAGGGGACTGGAGCACCTCCCATATGAAGACAGGCTGAGCAAGTTGGGGCTGTTCAACCTGGAGAAGAGAAGGCTGTGTGGAGACCTCATAGCAGCCTTCCAGTATCTGAAGGGGACCTACAAGGATGCTGGGGAGCAACTCTTCATCAGGGGCTGTAGCGACAGGACAAGGAGTAATGGGTTAAAACTTAAACAGGGGAAGTTCAGGTTAAATATAAGGAAGAAGTTCCTTACTGTGAGGGTGCTGAGGTACTGGAATGGGTTGCCCAGGGAAGTGGTGAACGCTCCATCTCTGGCAGTG